AGCATTTTCCAGGGCTATTTACTCGCTCAGCAGTCTTAACATTGTCATCTAGTGCATTTATTTATGTCCAGTCGTACTGTAGAAAAAGAGGCATATGAAGCTAATCGTAATTAAAGTTTCTGATACTGGCGAGTTTCACAGGCAGTCCAAAATTGTGTAACCATTGGAATATTGATCTTCAGTTGTCTTCCATTGTGGGTGGTTATTTGTTCCACGATTGCTTCATTATGTTCATTGATTTGATGAGAGTCCTCCCGCGCCTTTTCTTTGCCTCCTTCTCACCACCCTTTTCACAGCGCTTCTCCTTCCTTTTTTATTTTTTGACAAGCTGGACTATCGAGTCCTGTATCTTGTTGTCAGTTATTCCGTTTTACAAGGCAAAGTTGCACGTCTCATTCTGTGAATGTCACCTGTGTCTGTAATCTGTGCAGTCAGGACATGTAGAACTTGTCAACGTTTGTGTTTAAGAAGGAATTCGTGGCTGTAATACTGCAGTACGGTTCAACGTTTTATTTCCGGCTTATGTTCATCAGTGGCTTTGTCTTTGCGTTCCGGTCAGTATAGGATCGTGAGACTGCTCTTTTGAAATCTATGGTTGCTTCAAAGAAAGGATAATTAGCGGAGTCCTCAGGTCCAATCAGCTGTTGATTCCTGTCGGTGCGGAAACGTTCAGTTCTGTTCCTATGAATGGGTCATGTTACGTTCCAACCCGTTCCCTTCAGTTGCACTCTCTTCCTATCGGTCCCATTCCCTTCCGTTCGTATCGGTGCTCTTCGAATGGGTTCTGGTGCGTTGTGTTCGGCTCCATTCATTTGCTTAGTTTCTCCGTTTCCGTTTCTAGCGGGTCCGTTCTATTACTTCAAGTTGGTCCTCTTCCGTCCCTATCCGTCGCGCTCCATTCGGTTCCTATCGGTTCATTCCGCTTCTCTCGGTTCTGTTCGAATCGATTCCCTTGCGTTGCGTTCCCTTGCACAACGTTCCAATCGGTTCCGTTCCATTCAATTCTTGGCGGTTTCATTCCGTTCCTTTCCGTTCGGTTCTTCTTCCTCGAACTGCATTCAGTTTTTCTGTTCAGACCTTATGGGTTCCTTCGGAATGTGTTCCTTCGCCTTCCATTCTTTTCCCTTGCGTATTGTTCCGTTCCGTTTCGTTGGAATCGGTTCAGTTGTAGTCAGTTCCTCTCCGGTCCGTTCCACTGACCTCCTATTGCTTCCGTTCTTCTCGCTCGGTTCGAATCGGTTCTCTTGCGTTGCTTTCCGTTCCATTTATTTCCGTTGCACTTAGTTCACTTCCTGTCGGTTCAGTTCCGTTCCATTCCTCTCTCTCCCTTCTGCTCGAATCCGATCCCTTCCGTTGCATTTCGTTCCAATTAGTGTTCCACTTATTTCATTTTCTTTGCATTCTGTTCCTCCCAGTTCTTCTCGAATCGGTTCCATTTCAGCCGGTTCCGTCTCAATCGGTTCTCTCGCGTGGGCGCTCCGTTGCATTCATTTCCGTGGCACTGGTTGCTCTCGGTTACGTTCGAATTGGTACAGTTGCACTCAGTTCCTCTCGAATCAAATCCGTTCCATTCACTTCTTATCGGTTCAGTTCCAGTCGCTTCCATTCCATTCCGCAGTCATCTGCTGCGGGGAATGGAATCACTCAATTCTGATGGTAGGCGTTGCAGAGTTGCCATCCAATCACTGTATTCTTATAGGAGGTGCTGTGTCAGAGTTAATGGCGTTAAGTCGAAACCATTCGGTGTTCGCACTGGTCTCT